GTGTGTGTGTGTGTGTGTGTGCGCGCGCCGGGGGAAGCTGCGCGGCGCGGGGAGGTGCGGGGAGGTGCGGGGAAAGCTGTGTGTGTGTGTGCGCGCGCGCGCCGAGAGAGAGAGAGAGAGAGAGAGAGAGAGAGGAGAGGTGTGTGTGTGTGTGTGTTGTGTGCGTGTGTGTGTGTGTGTGTGTGTGTGTGTGTGTGTGTGTGCGCCGGGGAGCTGCGCGCCGTGCACGGGAGCTGCGCGGCAGTGTGCGGGTGGTTGCGCCGGGGAGCTGCGCGGAGCTGCTGCGAGGGTGTGTGCGCCGGGCAGCGTGCGGGTGTGTGCGCCGGTGCGTGCGCGTGGCAGCGTGCAGGAGCTGCGCGAGCGCGCGCGCGCGCGCGCGCGCGAGAGAGAGAGAGAGAGAGAGAGAGAGAGAGAGAGAGAGAGAGAGAGGTGCGTGCGCGCGCGCGCACGATTGGTGGGGTGGGTGGGGGTGCGAACCCTCCCCCACGAATCAATCAATCAATCATCAATCAATCAATCAATGAAAAAAAAAAAATCTACGAAACTAATCAATCAATCAATCAATCGATGAAAAAAAAAAAATCTATGAAACTAATCAATCAATCAATCAATCAATCAATCGATCAATCAATCAATCAATCAATCAATCAATCAATCAAAGGGGGGGCGGGGCGACCCCACCCCAACCAATCAATCAATCAATCAATCAATCAATCAATCAACGAAAAAAAAAACAAAAAAAAAACGCGTTTTTTTTTTCTTTTTTCTTCGATTTCGCCCTCACCCCCCCAACCAAAAATTTGATTTGTTTCTTTTTTTTTTGCCTGATGGGGTGGGGCTGGGGTTGTGCCGCCACGTGGCGCTTCCCGATTCCTCAACCCCCCTCCCCAACGGCCGCCACGCGTCCGCGAAGACGCGTGTCCGCGTGGACGCGTCCGCGGACTTAGTCGCGCTTGTCCGCCGCCGAGGGGGATTCATAGTTGGGGGCTCCTCTCGCTCCTTCCTTTTCTCCTTGTCCTCTCCCCCTCCTTTTCTGTTCCTTTTTTCATCCTTGTCTACGCCGATGTCGCTTCCCTCTGTCCCGACGTTGATCTTAGAGAGAGAGAGAGAGAGAGAGAGAGAGAGAGAGGGACGACAAATGTTCAAATAGCCGCTGCTAAACATTCATTAATGTCGATCAAATAGTTGTGCGAGAGAGAGAGAGAGAGAGAGAGAGAGAGAGAGAGAGAGAGAGAGAGAGAGAGAGAGAGAGAGAGAGAGAGAGAGAGAGACGACAACTGTTCAAATAGCCGTTGCTTAACGTTCATTACTGTTGATCAAATAGCTGAGAGAGAGAGAGAGAGAGAGACGACAACTGTTCAAATAGCCGCTGCGTGAGAGAGAGAGAGAGAGAGAGAGAGAGAGAGAGAGAGAGAGAGAGAGAGAGAGAGAGAGAGTGGAGACCGGGCGGTAGATGGATAAATGTGTACATATCTTGATCCACGATTTTGAAACGTTTTCACGTTTTTGCAGTCATAGATATGGGCGCTAGAGTTTGATCCCCATACCTCACCTTACCCATGAACAGTGTCAAGTGGACCCCCGAGTGTTTGAACCCGTGACCTGTGTGTTTCGGTAGTTGGTTGTTTGTCTGTCGTAGGTCTGTGTAGATGTAGGGGTTCGATTTGTAGGTCTGTCGAGTAGGGGTCATAGCAGTGTAGAGGTCGAAACTGCTAGGCTAGAGGTCTGTAGGCGAGTTGCAGGTCCAACTGCGTTGAGTCAGCGGTGCAACCTCATGCAGTCAGTGGTACCAGTTCCAGTCACCCTCAGTCCGGTCAAGCAAGTACCGTGTGGGACTGTGCCTGGTGGAAAGGGGCAGACCAGCGACAAACAGAAGTATAAATCAAGAAGCAACACCCAACAATGGATTCAGTCGCTGCGTAAGCCATGCGGAAGCGCTTCTACAATGTCTTGTGCGAGGTGGTCTGCAGAGTGCCCGAAGTCGAAGTGGGCCGAAGGAAGACAACGTAGCCATAGTCATTAGTAGTAGAGCGGTCATAGTCGCGGTAGGGAGAAGATAAGCTTTAGTGTGTGTATGAGTGTGAGAGGCGTGTGGTGTATTCAGGGTGATCTAGAGTTGAGTGTGCACGAACAGTGATGTTGAACGCAGTGACGAGAGTGGGTTTGTGCAGGCGTTGATGCGCCATAGTTTGTTGAAGCGAGTTTACATTTAAATTGTGTTTTCGTTTGCCATATCTCTGAGTTTGGAGTGGGCGTTGTGTGCCAGTGTGAATCGCCAACTGTGCGCATGCATGCAAAGTGGAAAAGAAAGCGAGTCTGATTGCATTGGCCTCGGAGCTCGGACACAGGGCTACTAGGAAAGAGGAAGGTGAAGCGAAGGAGAAGGGAGGGGAGACGAAGGAGCAGAAGTCATAGTTTAGGGAGAAGGAAGGAGGGACAACGGAAGTGAAGGAAACCATAGCCTTGGTGAAGTGAGAAAAAGGAGAAAGGAGGAAGGAAAAAGAGGGGGGATAAAGAAGGTTGGTGAGGAAGAAAAGGGTCGGCAGCCATAGCCGAATTGAGGGTTGACCGAGGCGTTGACCAACGTTGACCAAGACTTTGATCGGAGAGTTGACCGGCGAGTTGACTGACGTTGACCAAGGCGTTGACCGGCAAGTTGACCAAGTGTTGACCAACGTTGACCGGAGCTGTTGACCACGAAATTGACCAAGCTGGAGTTTGTATATTCTCGCCAAGCCTTCCGCCTATCCCCTCGCCCTATGGATGTACGCTCACCCTATGGCACTTGTTGAGTTTGTCTGTCTCTTCTTTCTGCATTGAGTCTCTTCTGTCCAGGTGATAGGAACTCTGTGTATGCGGTCATAGAGCTTTGTTGACCAAACCCACACGGGTTGAGTAGGGCTAAAGGCTGTGTTTGACGACTTGACCGACCCGGAGGACACGAACCCTCCCAAGGACCGATACAGACCGGCGGGCTGCTCAGTGTGGCACGGTAGGCCCAAAATCCTAGTTGTGGGTTGCACAACGAGTTGTCTAAGTTTTGAGAGGACTTGCTGATCGCGTCGTCCTATTTGCGATGTTAAATAATTCGTGAGGAGTTACGGGGGATCTCCATAAATGCCTCCTGATCAGCAGTAAGTCATGTAGTGACAGCCTTAGTTTTAGGTCTAGGCTAGAGACCCTAGTTGACAGGATCTTGCTAAGATTCGGTGGTCCTTAGTAGAGTCAGTCCTAAGTTAAGTCAGTCAGGGGTGTGAGTCTAAGTGGTGAGGAGTGGAACTGAATCTTAGTTGTGCACCTTTCACCATGGTTGACCTACGTAGTGGAAAGAGTACCACCCCTTACACAAAGGCTTAGGAAGAGCAAGCCGCCGCTGTACTTAGAGAGAGAAAAGAGGAGGAGGCCAACAAGGAATTGATAAGACAGGCCAAAAAGTTTGTCCTACAGGAGGAGCAGGCGACGAAGAGGAAGTTGGAGGAGGAGATGGAAAGATTGAATCTGGAGGAGGAAGAGAAAATGACAGCAGTAGAAGAGAAAGAGATAGAAGAAGAAAATGAGGAGGTTCCCCTGATCAGAAGGAGCCCTAGGGATAAAGGGGAATCCAGTGGCATGAAGAGGGAGGAGTCGTGGTTAGAGAAGAAGGTTTCTGAGTGGGTGGCGAATTTGTCCCTGGGGGAAGAAGAAGAAGCGATGTTGTATGTTCCCCCGGAGGAGAAGGAAGCGGTTATAAGGGAGTTGGAGGCAGAAGAAGATCCCTTGAGACGCCAGACAATAGAGGAGGAGAAGAAGCTACAGTGGAAGCTATGTCTTACGAGGGCGAAGAAGAGAAGGATGGACGAGGCAAGTAAAATGGCGAAGGAGTTGGAGGTGATAAAGGAGCAGAGAGAGCAGATTCAGGCGCAAGTAAATATACAAGGAAAATTAGATATTATTACAAGAAACATTGAACTCCTGGCTAGAGCTTGGGATGAGCAGCATTAGTTTGCCAGGTTCCAGGACATAGCATTACACTCCATTCGCCTGGGTTTTAGGGACTTTGCACGCGAAATGATGCTGCACGTAGGTGCAGAAATGCAAGCGCGAGTAGAGGGCACAAAGAAATTCTGCACAGGCGCCATTGAGGGCGCAAAGCTGGTTGTCCCAAAGGAGGAAGAAGTAAACCCCCGTAGAGTGGCCGTGAAGATTAAGGTTCCTGAACCCTATAGTGGGAAGAAGGAAGAAAACTTCGATAACTGGGAGGCGAATGTGAACACGTATGTCTATCTGTAGAAGATTGTAGTTGAGGAACAAGTCCTCGTTGCTTTTTAGGCCCTCAAAGACGAAGCAGCGAACTTCGTCAGATCACTCGCTCGCGCTGCACAGTGCAAGAATTATATGGTAGCATATTCAAAAATTACCCCGCTTCCAGAGTTCCTTAGACTGCTTAAGGAACGATTTGCAGATGTCAGTCGAGGCGTAAGGGCCTTAGACAAACTGCAAACCATCCACTCACGCCAGTGGAGGAGTGCTAGAGCACTCAAGGGCGTTATGGACAAGCTAGTAGCCGTCCCAGACCACGGGGTCATTGAGACCCGGTTGGTCAACTTATTTTATCGTGCCATGCCTGAGCCCTTGCGCGGGCACTTCTTCGAGAAGAGTAGACAGCCCACCATGACTTACGACACGTTGAGTAGAGAGGTGGTGTTGTTCGAAGCACAGTCCATGCCAGTTTGCACTTTCTGGCATAAGTGGAAGGGCTGTACCATCTCTGGTCAGGTTAGGTTCAAGGATCATCTGATCCTCACTTTAGATGGTGGTGGTATGGATGAGGTCCCATATAGTCAGATTGAGTGAGGCCTGGAAGAAGAGGACAGTAGTGGGGGTCAGGGGAGGACTTACGCTACTGTCGCGGCTGGAGGGAGGCCGCAAGGAAGAGGAGGGGGCCAGGCCAAGGGGGTCGGGCTCAGGTGGCCGAGGGTAGGGTGCTCAGGGGGTTGGCAACAGAGGAAACCGCCAAGAGGGAGGTAGGGGTCAAGGTCCCCTGCCAAATCGTCCGCGATCTTATCGGTCACCCGCAAGAAGGGGTGGATGGCACCCAGGCTTGCCACAAGGCAGGCCATGGGAAGATTTGGGCTTGGACCAGTCAGTGTGGCAGCGACGTGTGGATCAAGATCAGTGCATTTGTTGCGGTGATCCGGGCCCAATAATTAAATATTGTCCAAAGTATAGAGAAGCCCGTTATGCTGCACAACCAGCAAAAGGCAACCGCCGATAGGGGTCGCAACTGCCCTTACCCCTAGGCAATATGGAGAAGAGTGCGCGACCCGAGAGGAACTCCCAAACCATATGAGTTGCGACAAAGGTTGCTGGCCAGTACCTAGATAGCCGTTCAGAGACTGCTTGTGTTAGAGTCTCTCTAGGTACTTCCCTCACAGGTGTGGCAGAAGAGTTGAAGGAGAGGATGCGTGCCTGGGCCAAAATGAAAAAAGATGCGAAAGAACAACTAATCTTAGTAGACGTAGAGATCTTTAGAGGTAGAGTAGGGGCCCTTATGGATAGTGGGGCCCACCCGCAGCTATATTAGTAGGAAAGCGCTGCAGAAGTTGGAATTAAATCTTAAGGTCCACAAGTTAGAAGACCCTATAGTCAGTATCCTCGCAGACAATCGCACTATGCGAGTCGAGGATTACGTTGAAGGAGTCCAGGCGTACTTTCGCCTAGAGAAAGATGGGAAGGTGGAGTGAGTTCTCCATTCCCCGACTCTCCTCGTAGAGGACAATCTTCCTTTCGATATGGTCCTAGGAATGGACTGGGGAGAGGCAGTCAGGGCCACACTCCATTTGAGAGAGCACGAGTGTAGGCTCCCTAGTCTCACAAGTGAAGTTAAGACTGCTCGCTTGTTTCTTGTGTCAGGAGTAGACAACTCTCTGGCACATTGCTGTCTCAGTGCTCCCGCGTTCGCGCGTTTAGTAAAGAAGCAGCAGTTAGAAGAGCAGGTTTTTGTAGCCTATGTAAGGCCAGTCACAGTCTAAAGAGGAGAGACCCATAGACCCTGCTATTGCCAAGCTGCTGGAGGAGTATACAGACTTAGTCCAGCCGCCTACAGGAGTAGTGTCATGGTCGATCCAGCATCATATAGAGATAGAGCCTGGCAGCAGGACTCCTAAGGGAGCCATTTATAGAATGTCCCCAAGGGAGTTAAGAGGAGCTGCGTAAGCAGTTGGACGAGCTCCTCGAGAAGGGTTGGATTAGGCCCAATTCATCTCCATTTGGAGCACCTGTTCTTTTTGTCTCCAAGGAGGAGGGAGAACTCAGGATGTGTATAGACTATAGAGGTTTTAACGTCGTTTTAGTAAAGAATGCAAAAGCATTGCCCCGTATAGATGATTTGTTGGATCGGGTGCAGGGTTGTAAGTATTTTTCAAAGGTAGATTTGAAGTCTGGTTATCATCAGATAGAACTCCATCCTGATGATCAGTACAAGACGGCGTTCCGGATGCGATATGGGCACTATGAGTTTATAGTTATGCCCTTTGGACTAACCAATGCGCCAGCAACATTCCAACGCTGTATGAATGATTTGTTTAGGACGTGGTTAGATAGATTCGTGATAGTGTACTTAGATGATATTTTAGTTTTTAGCAAGACCCCCCAGGAGCATGAGGGTCATCTAAGGCAGGTCTTGGAGAAGCTTAGAGAAGCCAACTTCAAGATCAACACAAAGAAGTGCGAACGGGCCAAGACATAGGTTTTGGACTTGGGCCACCTCTTAGATGGAGACGGCATAAAACTTGAAGATAGCAAGATAGCAGCAATTAAAGATTGGCCAACGGCCCGCACGCTGACAGAGTTGCGGTCGTTCTTAGGCCCAACCAATTATTATAGGAAGTTCGTTAGGAACTCTCTACCATCGCTGCACCCCTTCGCAGGTTGCTAAAGAAAGAAGCAATATGGAGTTGGGACATGATTGTACATCAACCCTGAGCAAGTTGAAGCGGGCTTTGATAGAGTATCCAGTCCTTAAGGTAGCCGATCCGTCCATGCCTTTCCTTGTTACCACTGACGTGAGTCAATATGGCATAGGTGTTGTTTTATGGCAAGACGATGGCAATGGATATAGGCCCGTAGAGTTCATGTCTGCCAGGATGCCTTCAAAGAAGGTAGCGACATCCACCTATGAGAGGGAACTCTACGCTCTTAGGCAAGCACTAGAGCACTGGAAACATTACTTGCTTGGGAGGCACTTCAAAGTCTATTCAGACCACGAGACACTAAGGTGGTTGAAGACACAGGCCAAGATGACACCTAAGCTTACTAAGCGGGCCGCAAAATTAGATCAGTGTGACTTTGAACTTAAGCCAGTCAAAAGGAAGTACAATGTAGTTGCGGATGCTCTAAGTAGGAGAGCTGATTACTTTGGAGCGATAGTTCACTATTTGGATATAGGGAGAGACCTGCAACAAAAGGTTAGAGAAGCCTATGTGCAGGATCCTATCTATAGTCACCTCCTCAAGAGAGTTAGGGAGGCCCCAAAGTCTAAACCAGACTACCGCACTACTGATGGATTGCTATTTGAGATAACTAATGTAGTTGACCGTCTGTGCGTTCCCAACAGTGAGGAGATTCGTAGTTTGATCTTAGGGGAATGCCATGACACAAAAGACACTAGCCAACCTCATGCGCGCGTATGTCTGGCCCGGAATGAAGGCTGACTGCATAGAGTATGTACGCAGTTGTAAAGTCTGTCAGAGAAACAAGACTACTACGCGAGGCCCTCTTGGTCTTTTCAGACGCTTGCCTATTATTGACAGACCCAGAGATTTTATTTCCATTGACTTTATGGATGCTGGGGTCAAGAGTAGGCATGGCAAAAGTCAAGTCATGGTCATAGTTGATATGCTTAGCAAGTATGCAGTTTTTATCCCTTTGCCTTCAGAGGCACAAACAAATTTAGTAGTTCGAAAGTTCTTTGACAATTGGGTCAATGAGCATGGTATACCGCTGTCGATAGTTAGTGACAGAGATACCAGGTTCACCAGTCAGAACTGGCAGGAACTAATGAAAGTCTATGGTTCCAAGTTGTTGATGTCATATGGCCGTCATCCTGAGACTAACGGTCAGACTGAACAAATGAACAAGCTCCTGCAGCAAGTTCTTAGAATGTACATTGGGCCCGACCAGATCAACTGGGATGGGATGCTTCCAAAGGTAGCGAGTGCATACAATAACAGCGTGCACTCAGCCACATGTCGCACTCCCAACGAACTGCACAAGTCCTTTAGACCGCAACGACCATTTGAAGGACTTAACCGGAATCAGATTCAGAGGTTACCGCCCGGTACATGAGAATTTGCAATACAGCACGAGAAAGAGATAGCTACCGTTGTTGATAACCTCAAGAAAACCCAGCACAGAATGATAGAACAAGCTAATAAGCACCGTTGCCCCTCACAGTTTCAAGTAGGCAACTTAGTCTGGGTCAAGTCAAAAGAGTTCGCTCCTGAGGGCAATATCTCATAGAAGTTACTGCATGCGTATAGAGGACTGTGGCCAGTCTTAGAAGTCAAGTGCGAAGAGGATGGACCGTCCTATACTATTGAGATTCCAGCACACCTCCACACCTACCTAGTATTCCATGCGTCAAAGCTGCTGCCTTGTGTCACAAGTCAACAGTTTCCATCACAGCGATCCATGATCCCTCCGGATATGGATGGGAGATATGACATTGATGGGTATAGTAGGTGAGGACGTCTTTAGGACAGGAGGTAGAGGTCGTCCACAGAAACAGTACAAAGTCAGATTTTCCTTCCAAGAGCCAGAAGGCGACCGCTGGTTCACGCGAGCAGAACTTCTAGAGACAGCTCCCAATATAGTCTGAGCTTACGAAAGAGATAAGAAGGGTAAAGGCCCTGCCTTAGACTGAAGTATTCTATGAGGACCTCGAATTTAGGCCGATGGGAGTGAAACCGTTTTCACCTTTTTGCAGTCATAGATGCGGGCCCTAGAGTTTGATCCCCAGACCTCACCTTACCCATGTATAGTATCGAGTGGACCCCTTAGTGATTGAACCCGTGACTTGTGTGTTTCAATAGTTGGCTGTTTGTCTGTCGTAGGTCTGTGTAGATGTAGGGGTTCGATCTGTACGTCTGTCGAGTAGGGGTCATAGCCGTGCCGAGATTGAAACTGCTAGGCTAGAGGTCTGTAGGTGAGTCGCAGGTCCAACTGCGTTGAGTCGGCAGTGCAACCTCATGCAGTCAGTGGTACCAGTCCCAGTCACCCTCAGTCCGGTCAAGCAAGTACTGTGTGGGACTGTGCACACCCAGGGCCTGGTGGAAAGGGGCAGACCAGCGGCAACCAGAAGTATAAATCAAGAAGCAGCGCCCAACAATGGATTCCTTTGCTGCGTAAACCATGCGGAAGGGCTGCTACAACGTCTTGTGCGAGGTGGTCTGCAGAGCGCCAGAAGTCAAAGTGGGTCAAAGAAGACAACGTAGCCATAGTCATTAGTAGTAGAGCGGCCATAGCCGCAGTAGGGAGAAGATAGGCTTGTAATGACCCGCCAAAAACACAGACTGAGAACACTGCCGATTTCTGGGATTTGCCACTGGAATGAATGCCTGGCTGTGATTCCCGCATTCTGCTGTGTTTTCCAAGTCTGTGTGTGTGTGCGTGCCTGCCCGTTTGCATGCCTGTCTGAGTGCTTGTCGGTTGAGTGTGTGTGTGACCCGCAAGGGTACTTGTTGTTTTGCAAGGCCCCGCAGGGCTGGTACTTACCTGTGGCCGTGACTTTGAGGGTTGCAGGGGGGTAAACACTCAGGTAGCGGGGGGTAGGCCCACGACACTTAGAGCAGCTGGGGAAAAACACTCAAGTAGCAGGTAGGCCGAGCAGAAATAGACAAAAGTTGGCATTTTTAGAGGCCCAGTAGCGGTAGGCTAGAGGTAGGCTGGTACCAGTCCAAGTAGCCCGGGTTTAGGGCCTGTCCGGCCAATAACAGAGTCTGCAGTGATGTTTCCCTCCGAAAGGGAGGAGGTACCGGTTGCTGGGAGGCCGCTCGGCCTAGGAAGTCACCGCCCAGGAGGCCGGTAGGCCGCTATATCTTCAGGAAGAGCGAAGAGCTCTTCCTCATTTGCGGTATGCAAGGATTGGCGACATGCTGCTGGAGCGCTAGCGCTGGTCTGCTACAGSGCTGGGTGGAGGTGAAGGCAGCTGGGCGCTCAGCCTGGCTATGGCGAGCAGCCCAGTGTGAGGAGGAGGAAGAAGGAGGTTGAGGGAGAGAGTGGCGAGGCACTTACCTGGCTATGGTAGACACCATCTTCATTACCTTGTTGGGCGCTGCATCTGGAAGGCCCCAGTTGGGGTAGTGCGGCACCAAGGCAGCTCGAGGCAGAGTCAGGCATTGCGGACCAAGTCAGCAGCAGCATAGCTGCTTTGGGTAGTCCTTTGGACATCAGCGCAGCACCATTGCTGCTTGGGTTGTCCCTTGGACATCAGCGCAGCACCCTAGCTGCTTGGGGGTAGTCCGCCATAGCCTATGCATGAGAGAGGAGGTTGAAGGAGGGAAGCCATAGCTATGGTGGACTTGTTGTTGTTGTTGTTGTTGTTGTTGAGTTGAGTCAGCAGTAAGGGGGAACTTCGGATATTGATTCTGGTTCATCCATTCATTGTTATTATTATTATTGAGTGAAGAATAAGATTGGTGAAGTGAAGGAGGAGGAGGAAGGTGGAGAGAGAAGGGGGAATTGTCATTGGTCTTGCTGGTGTACTTCTTCTTCTTCTTCTTCTTCTTCTTCTTCTTCTTCTCCTTTCTCTCTCCTCTAGTCTTTATCTCTTTGCAAGTGCTTTCATTTCTTTCGCAATTGGGTGGCATTGTCTTTCATTGTGAATTTGCACTTGGGAAATGACCAGGATCGTAACAATTGGTATCGGAGCGGACTTACTTGCTGGCGAGAGGTGTTAGTCACCCTAACCCTAATTCCGAATTAGGTTAGGGCTAACCTAATCTCGGATTAGGGTTGGGAAGGTAGGGTTAAGTGGGGCAGCGAGGTATGGGGATGCTGCCCCCTCCTGGTTAGGTCATGTAGGGTCGACATTGGACCCAACCAGGTTGGTTGAGTGAATGTATGGGGTGGCGAGACACAAAGGAAGCTGATTGGAGTAAGCGAGAGGGAGTAGAGAGTGAGAGGTACTCGCACCTGGAATCTGGACTTCAGGAAGACATTGAGTGACTTTTGGGCTTCCCCTCAAGAGGGAGACTTGATCGGAGGCTGCCATATCTGCATCGGATTGCTGCAAGTTGCTACTTTGGTCTTCAGGCATCGACGGGGGATCCGGCTTTGCAATAGGGGTGTAGGAAGGCCCTCTTAGTTATGCCAGGACACTTCGTGTAGTGGTAGCTAGGGGTCAGGAGGACTCATGAGAGAGGGGGGTGACTCGCTAATCATCTTTGGAGGCCGGGCCTCACAGGTAAGTGTCGTGTGACTTGGGTATGCCCACGGGTGGTTGCTTGGTACGTCATGGCCTGTTGGGGTTGTAACTGGGCTCTTTTCCTCTTCTCTGCAGTCTTGGTTGTGTGTGTTGAGCATGTGGATTGCTTCCTCACCTGATGAGTGAATGGATGATGTATCTTGTTCTAAATGGCTCATCTTTCTACAGTGCATTGTCTGTTCACTTCTGAACGGTAGTAGGGGTAAGTTCTTGCTGAAAGTTGCCTTTTCCTTTTCAGTACGGTAGAGACAGTTTGGGACTGACTTGGTACCCCTGTCTCGTTAGACCTGGTCCACGACCTACTTGGGACCTTTTGGGACCAGTGGGACCAGGCCCAACGGGACAGGACCTTTCGGGCATTTCTTTGCTGTGCTGAATCTAGGGGACATACGGACAGCAAGGGCGTTCCTTTCAAGGGGATCTTGACTGGTCTTACCGCATGTGATCACATACTGCCCCGCGTTTGGCTCGGCGACCGTCTGCACCCCTCGAAATCTCCATTGCTGCAGTTAGTTTCCTTCGACTGATTTATCGTGATGCATGTCCCTTGCTGGAGTTCTACTTCTTCTCTGTGTACTTTTCTGCTTGTTTCTTTCATTCGAACTATCTATGTCCGATATCGAGACGCGTGCGCAGACAACGAGAAGAGAAGAAAGGGAGAGAGAAGGTGTGTTGTTTGAGAGTGTGAGGAGGGGCAAGAGGAGTGTCCGTCCAAACGTAAGGAGTGAGCGGACCCCTCTTGAGAGATCTACTGACACCCCTTCCTCCGGCATGGCAAACATCACATCTGCCCAATGGCAGGCCATGCTGGATGCAGCAGATGAGAGCGAGAGACCGTTCTTCCAGAAACAGTATGATGATGCAATACAGAGAGAAAGGGAGGCAGAGGCAGCAGCTAGAGCTGCCAACATTGCTGATCAGGTGGCTCTCCTTCGGATCCCGGAAGCCAATGCTGACCGGTTCCAGGAGGGACTAGCTGCTGCTGTAGCAGCCTTGGTTCGGCTGCGGACCTTGGAAAACCTTCAGTCCCGTGTAGCAGCGCTAAAGCAGCAGAACCAAGAGCTGCAGGTTGAGATAACCAGCCTCAAACAGTCTCAACTGTTTGCCCCCCGCCCTCCTAACCCTCGATCTGCTGTAATCCCAGTCTCTCAGTCCAACACAGTCCTTGTGCCAAGGGCCAGTGGAACTGTGGCAAGCGCAGGAACCGGTGCCAGCTCCTCGAGCGGCAACGCCGGCAGTTCTGCGCTGGTCACAGTCCCCAATACAGGGACATCAGCCCAAAACGCCACAGTCTTTACTGGCGTTCAGTACAGCGGTCCCATGGTGGACAAGAGGGCGGCCACGCTGCCGTCCAAGTACGATGGGAAAGCAGACGTTACCTCTTGGATTAGCTCCATGAGGTCATACTTCGAGGTTATGCAGACACCGCAAGAGGACCGAAGTATGATCATGGGGACTAATACCGAGCCCACCGTACGGAACTACATTGAGCTCCAAGTTGTTGTTGCAGGCTATGAACGAATAGACCTGACCGAGTGGCTGAAGATAACCCCTTGTACGCACCCTTGAGGACCTTCTCCTCGCACGGTACCAAGACAAGCATGCTGCGCTCAAGGCTAGGCTGAAGCTTGAGGCCCTCAAAGGCCAAACATGGAGGTCCTCCATGCAGGCTTTAGAACAGCACTTGACTGGTCTGTTCACCACTCCTGATCTGGGAATGACTGACGTGTCTTGTATGGATGTAGTCATGGGAGTGGCCCCTAAGGAATATCTCTCCCTGTTGGCACTCAAAGACCATACCACCTGGCGAGAGCTCATGACGGATCTAGTCAACCTAGAGGCCAAGGACCTCGCCAGGCGGAAGAAGGCGCCCGCTGCAGGTGGGAAACCACAACGCAACCTGTTTGGAAGGAGCAACCAGCTTGCACTGCATGATCATCGGGAGGCTAAAGATCAGTCCTATGCGGATGATCTGACTCTAGATGACGATCAAGAGCCGGACTTCGATATGGGTTGTTCCTCATCAGCCATTGAGTCCGACGTAAATGAAGACGAAAAGCTTAATGCTTTCAGAAAGACTGCTTCAAACAAGGGGCCGAACCATGGTTCAGGTAAGGGAACTGTTGTCCACCTCCCAAAGAATGCAAAGATCCCTGAGAAACCGGAGATGCATCAACCAAGCCTTGGGAAGCCCTCTGTATCAGTCAAAAGGAATGGGAAAGAAGATCTAAACTGCGCATATGCCTGCATTGTCAAAAGCCCGGGCATGCTGTGCAGGACTGTTATAGACTGCAGGGAAACAACAAAAGGGCGTAGAGGAGTCCTCAACACTCCCTACAACAAGGGAAGCTGGAACATCAGTTGCAGGCCCCTCTGATGAGCCTGAATCTGATCAACAGCCCACTCTTGAAGCCCGGAACGACGCTGAATCCAAGGCTGCTGCAATTCATGTGTTATACACAGAGCCTTGGGAGGAGTCTAAGGAAGTTGACTTCCACGCTCACATGGAACATTGGCTGCAGCTCAAGCAGCAGCGCCGTGTCCAAGGGAGTGTGGAGCTAACCTTCTTTAAACTGCTCATTAACCGCCGATACATCCGCGTGCTGATTGATAGTGGTTCAACCACTAACTTCTCTTCTCCTAACGAGATTCGTAAGGCGGGCCTGGGAATGAAGCAAGTGGAACTGCAGAACCCTTGTCAGACCCAGGTGGGCAACCAAGAGGTTGTCAAAGGTGTGCGCGTCACCTTTGACAAGGACCGCACTGTCACACATGAGCTCAACTTCTACGTCATGGACATGTGTCCGTTCGACGCGGTCGTTGGCTTGGGCTCGTTAAAGGCTCATTGCCTAAGGACCACGTGGGCGGACAACCAGTTCGTGGTGCGTGATGCCTAGGGGAACGAGCGTACCGTCCTATTGGATGAGACCGCGAGTCCCCTGTGACTCTTCTAAGTGCAACCAAATTCTGCAAATCAGTGCGCAGGCGCACAGAGATTGAGTTTGTACATATAGCTCTTGTAAAACCTCTCCATGTGCCTTGTACTTTTGCTGCATTTTCGACCTCGGAAAGTAACTCCACCTCTACTACTTCTACTTTTGTTCCACCTACTTCTACTATAAATAATCAACCTACTTTTGATCCAAATACCTCGAAACCGGTTGTGATCGCTGTAAATTCTCAATCTGATTTTCTTTCCCCTGATGAGGATGATCCTCCACTGGAAATCCCAGCAAACATTCGTTGTCTATTAGATCGATTTCCTGAAGTCTTGGATGATCCTCGCGGAGTTCCCGAGCGTCCAGTCAAACACAAAATCGAGATAATAGAAGGGAGTGTTCCTCCAAAGGGCTGCGTCTACCGTATGGGACAAGGCGAGTTGGAGGAGCTGCGGAGGCAAATCGATGACATGATTGACCGTGGGTGGATTAGGCCTAGTGAGTCTGAGTTTGGTGCCCCTGTCTTGTTTGTACCAAAGAAAGGAGGCAAACTCCGGATGTGTATTGATTATTGTGGCCTGAATCGGATCACAAGAAAGAATGCGTACCCTTTGCCTCGCATAGATGATTTGCTAGATGCGGCAGGTGGATGCAAGGTCTTCTCCAAGATCGACCTCAAGTCTGGCTACCACCAGATTGA